CGTCTCCCGCCTCTGCCGCCACCTCATCCAGGGCCGCCGCACCGCGCGCGCTCGGGGTGCTTGGCGGCGTTGCGCCGCCCGTGCCTCCCAAGGCTTGAAGGGTCTGGGCCTCCCTTCGCAGGGTGCTATGCGACAGCTGGACGACAGCCCGCCGCTTTGGGCGGAGGGCTCCCTGCCCGTTCGGGTGTGAGCGCGGCAAGGACACAGCCTGTTGCGTTTCGCGCAGGGCCTTGGCCTTGCGGAGCTGGACTGCACGCATTTGCGCGCAACCCGCCCGGACCCCGCGATGCGGCTGCCGTGCTTCGTAGGTAGGGAGTCAATGCTTCCTGAGGGCGCGACTCCTGTGTTAGCACGTCGCGCCCTGGCGGCGTACTGTACGAATGCTGATTCACGTGCCGCCCGACACGGTACTACAGCGGAGGTGGTTGGCGCTTGGTGGCCGTATGGTCGAGAGGCTTGTGCGGCGCACCCGCCATTGTCAGCAATTGTTTCCGAATCGTGGCGATCAAATTATGGTCACTGTCGTGGTGCTGGTTTGTCTCCTCCCCTCGCGTCTCGTCCCCTCATGTTCGTCCCCTCCTTTTCCCCCTCTCGCCTCGTGCATGCCGCTTGCTCACCTGTGACGTGTCTTTCGGAACTCACTGCTTCCGCAGACCTTAGCGCTCCGAGTGCCTTGCGTTGGAAATCGCGTGCTGGTTTGAATGTGGGCCATTCTCGTGTCAGATCGCATCATCCTAGTGACTGGTGTTTGTTTGCCCTTGGCTTGAGCCCTGGTTTTCAGCAGCTGGTGCGCGTGACAGCCGCTTTTGGCAACCACTCTGCCCAATCTCCCTCCGCTTTGTCCTCTTGCCACCCTTCCTCCTCTTCCTCTTCGCGCTGGTGTTTTTTGACTTTGGTCCTGGCCAGGGCCAGGGTTCGAAGCAGCCGAGGCGCGTGCCAGCCGTTCTAGGCAGCCACGCTCACCACGCAGCCATCCCCTACACACCCCCAGCCCATTCTCGGACATCCTCCTCCTCCTCCGCCCCCTCTTCCTCCACGCCCCCCAGACCCATTATCGGACCCCCCGCCACGGGCCGATCTTGCTTCTCCTCCTCCTCCTCCTCCTGTGCATCCTTCTCCTCCTCCACCTCCTCCTTCGTCGAGCTTTGAGCTGCGGACCCTTGTCTCCACGATGGCGGCGATCCTCCTCCTCCTCCTCCTCCTCCTCCTCCTCCTCCTCTTCCCCCTCTGCTTGCATGGCCTACCCTAGGCGGGAATGGCGCGGGGGCCCAGCGCCAACGACAGTGGCGTGCCATGTGTCCCCCTAACACGATTCAGTTTCAAGACGCATGAACAATAATGTAACGATCAAGCTGTTGTGCTCCTCTCCCCTGCTCCTCCTCCTCCTCCGCCTCCTCCTCCCCTTTCCTTCCTCCTCCTACTCCCCGCCTCTTACTCCGTCCTCCACTCCTCCTTCGTCGCGCTGTTGGAGCTGCGGACCCTTGTCTCCACGATGGCGGCGTGCTCCTCCTCCTCCTCCTCCTCCTCCTCCTCCTCCTCCTCTTCCCCCTCTGCTTGCATGGCCTACCCTAGGCGGGAATGGCGCGGGGGCCCAGCACCAACGACAGGCACGTGCACACTTTTCCTATACACGGTCAGCTTTCAGACGCATGACATTGCCTCGAGGTCGAGCTGTTGTTGCTCCTCCTCCTCCTCCTCCTCCTCCTCCTCCTCCTCCTCTCCTCCTCCTCCGCCCCTTCTTCCTTCTCCTCCCTTACGCCTCCTCCTCCTCCGCTCACTCCTCCTCCTCCTCCTCTCCTCCTCCTCCTCATCCTCCTCCTCCTCCTCCTCACCTGCTCCTCCCCCCCTCCTCCCTCGTCCTCCTCCTCCTTCCCCTCCTCCTCCTCCTCCTCTCCTCCTCCTCCTCCTCCTCGTCCTCCTCCTCTCCTCCTTCATCCTCCTCCTCCTCTCCTCCTCTCCTCCTCCTCCTCTCTCTCCTCCTCCTCCTCCTCCTCCTCCTCCTCCTCCTCCTCCTCCTCCTCCTCCTCCTCCTCCTCCTCCTCCTCCTCCCCCTGCCACTCCCGCAAAAGTTGGCCGCTGGAGCTCTCCAGAGTTCCTCGTCCTGGCCAGCTGCTGGAGCTGCGCTAAGCCGCGGATGGGAGCCGGGAGCCTCTTGCCTTGGAGGGCCAAGAAGGCAAACATGTCGGGGCTCAAGACACGGGGGTCAATGCAAACGGGGGTCAGCCAGAGCGCCGGAGCTTGCAGGATCCTGCAGGGCCAGGGGTGCATTGACCAGGGCTGGGGTGCAGGGTCCTGCAGGATCCTGCAGGACTTTGCAGCATCTTGCAACGCCTGACTGACATGGGTTTGTATTGAGCTGGGTCAGTGCGTCCCCGAACATCAAAAGCGACAGTCCCCGATTCTCCCCCGCCTCCCCTCATGATCACTGGGTACTGGGTACTGGAACTTTCCAGTCGGGACCGACGAGATCGGTCGCTGCCGATCTTGTGTCAAATTCCAATGTCGGTCGCGGTCGCGACCGAGACCGAGTGGCTTCGAAATCGATCGCGACCGATGGGTCGCGACCGAAAACATCGTATATCCAATGATCTGGGTCTCGTCATCAGAGAACACTGTCCTCGCATCTCCCACACCCTTCGCTATAAGCAGTCATAAAGAATGGCGACGGGCGTTGCTTCTTCCGTTCTCGGTCCCATGGGGCCGTCCCCGGGCCCGGGAGCGTCAGAAGACGGCTCGGGGCGAGAAGCCAGTCTTAAGGGGGAGGGTCTGGGCCTCCTGGGGAGCCACGCGGCAACAAACCCACGCCGTCGGATGTTCGGGCCGGGTGCTCGTGCTGGATGCTGCTCCCCCTCGCGATCCTCCTCCAGGGGCGCTGGAAGCACGTGCCGGCCGACGCGGTGGACCTGGTCGAGCGGCTGCTGACGAAGGACCCTGCGAGCCGCCCAGAGGCGCGGGAGGCCTTGAGGCGGGCCCGCTGCGAGGGAGAAGGCAAGTCGATGGAGGTTTCGAGGCCTTGCGGCGGACTCGCTTGGAGCGGGGAGGGACGAGGATTGGAGCGTTTTGGCATCTCTTTTGGGCGTTTTCAATGATTTGGGAGGAAGTTGTGCAATCCGTGCAACTTATTTGTTTTCCTAGGCGACGGCGACAGAACGACGACGACGACGACGACGACGACGACGACGACGACGACGACGACGACGACGACGACGACGACGACGACGACGACCGCACACAGCTGCGCTGAAGGCTCCCGAAGACCCCTGGAGACCCCCGAGGGCTCTTGAAACGGTCCCCCAGCGAAGGCCCCTCCGCGACCCCGTGAGGGTCCCCGATGGCCCCAGGGCGCCCGACGACCCCCCCTCCCTCGGGGCCCCCGTGGGCCTCCGAAGGCCCCCGAGGGCCTCTGAGTCCCAGAACTCCGACGCCGTGGTTTTGTAAGAACGGTTTTTTGAAGGCAGATCTGCCTTCAAAAAAACGGTTTTTTGAAGGCAGATCTGCCTTCAAATGGTTTTTTGAAGGCAGATCTGCCTTCAAGGAGGAAAGACTGGTCTACTCGTAAGAACGGTTTTTTGAAGGCAGATCTGCCTTCAAAAAACCGTTCTTACAGAGTAGACCCTTTCCCTGGAACAGGCTTCCGGTACGTCGCCAGCGTCGTCGTCGACATCGTCGTCGTCGTCGTCGTCGTCGTCGTCGTCGTCGTCGTCGTCGTCGTCGTCGTCGTCGTCGTCCTCGTCGTCGTCGTCGTCGTCGTCGTCGTCGTCTTCTTCGTCCTCGTCGTCCTCGTCGTTCTCGTTGTTCTCGTTGTTTTCGCCCTTGTCGTTGTCAGAGCAGTTTTTTGCTTGTCCCGTGTGGCTGGTAAGGGCCCTCGGAAGCCGAAGCTTACCAAAAGCCGTCCGCCGTGTCTCTTCCACGACGAGAGGGGGCTTCGTTTTCTGGCCATAGCTCGCGCCTCCGGCGGCCGTTGTGGACGATCTGGGCGCCCCCGGAACGCGTGCGGCGAGGCGAAGCTGAGCTGCTGGAGTGCCTCTTGGGCTTGGAAAGCCTTCCGGGACCCGCGAACACGCCCGAAGACCTCAAACCTGCCCTGAGATCCGACGTCACGAAACGAGTGCAACATGGCGCAAAATCACAACCAGAGCCCTAGACCCTGTCTTTCCGATTTTTCGAGCCAGATCGATCTGTGATGGCCCTGGAGCCCGAAACTGAGCGAAAACGCGTGGTGTGAAAAAGTTTAGGCGCTAGGATCTCAGGGACCCACTGCGGTGAGACCCTGATCTAAAGGCCAAGACCCGCTGTGCTTCGAAGCCGGAATCTCAACCAGCGTGCAAGGCAGATCCGAAGTCAGGGATCCTGAGGCTGGACATCTTCTTGGGAACTTGCGAAGGCAGCCAGACAACTTCAAACCCCCGTGGGGAGAGGTCTCCCCGAGAGGCGCACCCGAGAGCCCCCGAGGGCTCCTGAAGCTCCCGAGGGCCCCCGAGGGGCCCCCGAGGGGGCCCCCGCGAGGGCCCTCCCCCTGGAGGCCCCCGCGAGGCCTCCCGCGAGGGCCCCCCCCCGCCCGCGAGGCCCCCCCCCTCCCGCGAGAGGGGCCCCACCGCCGAGGGGCGCGCCGCCCTCAGGCACGCCTGGCTGCAGCGCGCCGCGGCCGAGCCGCGGCCGCCGCCCGCGGCGCGGCGCGCGTTGCTGTCGCTGGGGCGCTACGCGGGCGCCTCGCCGCTGCGGCGCGCCGCGCTCCGCCTCATGGCGCTGGAGGCCGCCCCGGCGGCGGCGGCGGCGACGTCGGCGACGGCGGCGGCGGCGGCGGGACGTCGGCGACGACGATGTCGGCGGCGACGACGACGGCGACGACGGCGACGACGGCGCGGCGCGGCGCTGGAGGCCGCCCCGGCGGCGGCGGCGACGACGGCGACGGCGGCGGCGGCGGCGGCGTGTTCCTCCCTCGGTAGCGGGCCCCGGGGCCATCCGACATGATCCAAGGACGCGAAGCGGCCCCTGCTGGGGGCCTCCTCCTTTTCCTCCTCCTCCTCCTCCTCCTCCTCCTCCTCCTCCTCCTCCTCCTCCCCTTCCTTCTTCTCCTCCTGATCCTTCCTCCCCTTCCTTCTTCTCCTGATCCTCCCTCCTTTGGCCAACCCTCCAGTGTGTTGGGTCCTTGTTTTGAATCCGCAGCGCCGCGCGTCTCTCCTCCTCTCCTCCTCCCCTCCTCCCCATCCGTCCTCCTTTCCTCTTCCTCCTCATCCTTGCCAGAATCGTCATCATCATCATCATCATCATCATCAGCAGCAGCATCAGCATCAGCATCAGCATCAGCATCAGCATCATCATCATCATCATCATCATCATCATCATCATCATCATCATCATCATCATCATCATCATCATCATCGCCGTCATCGTCATCGTCAGCATCAGCATCAGCATCAGCATCATCAGCATCATCACCAGTCTCATCACCCTCGCCTTTTCTCACTCCATCACCGCATCCACCACCACCATCATCACCATCACCATCAACATCACCATCAGTATCATCATCACCATCAGCATCACCATAATCAGCACAAGCGTCGTAATCATCATCATCATCATCATCATCATCATCATCATCATCATCATCATCATCATCATCATCATCATCATCATCATCATCATCATCATCATCATCCACACGATTTGTGGCCCCATAGCGAGCTCCACCGAAGGCTTCAATTGCTGCGTCCGCATGGCTACTCGGGTCCATTCTGGCACGCCCCGGCAGCGGCGACGACGGCGGCGGCGGCGTGTTCCTCCCTTGGTGGCGGGCCCCGGGGCTGTCCGACCCGACATGAACCCGGGACGCGAAGCGGCCCCTGGGGACCTCCTCCTCCTCTTTCTAATCAGCATCATCATCATCATCATCATCATCATCATCATCATCATCGTCATCATCATCATCATCATCATCATCATCATCATCATCATCATCATCTTCATCATCATCATCATCATCATCATCATCATCCCTCCTCCCCCCCCTCCTCCTCCTCCTCCTCCTCCTCCTCCTCCTCCTCCTCCTCCTTATCATCATCAGCATCATCATCATTATCATCATCATCATCATCAGCATCATCATCATCATCATCATCCCTCCTACTCCTCCTCCTCCCCCTCCTCCTCCTCCTCCTTATCATCATAATCATCAGCATCATCATCATCATCACCATCATCACCATCATCACCATCATCACCATCATCATCGTCATCATAATCATCATCATCGTCATCATCGTCAGCATCGTCATCATCGTCATTATCATCATTATCATCATCATTATCATCCCTCCTCCGCCCAGGGGAGCTGGGGCTCAGGCTCAGCAGGGGTGGGGGCGAGGGGGACGAACCACCACGAGCCACGACGAAAATAAAGGGTGCCGCGGCCCAGGGGGGCTGCCCTGGGAAGCCTGGACGGAGGCGGGGTCCCAAGGGGGGGTGGCCCAGGGGAGCTGGGGCTCAGGCTCAGCGGGGGGGGCCGAGGGGGACGAACCACCACGAGCCACGACGAAAATAAAGGGTGCCGCGGCCCAGGGGGGCTGCACTGGAAAGCCTGGACGGAGGGGTGGTCCCAAGGGGGAGTGGCCCAGGGGAGCTGGGGCTCAGGCTCAGGGGAGGGGCCGAGGGGGACGAACCACCACGAACCACGAACCACGACGAAAATAAAGATGTCCGAGCTCTAGAGCACAGCTGTGCAAGAGAATAGTATCGCTTCCCAGGGCCCGCCACGTGAAAACCGTCCAGTTTGGGTCTTTTCCTGGTGCTCGAAATTCTTTCTGGCGATCAAGGCTGAAGTAGGTCCGAACATCATTGCCTGGGGTCCGAAACTGGGCAAAAACGCCCGGCGCGAGCAAGAATGCGATGCCAGGGCTTCTAGAGACGTTCTTCTTCGATTTCGGATTTCAAGGCCCATTATTGGGCCCCCAGGGCCACCAAAAATGGATCCGCGGCGCAGGACTGACCCCAGGGATGGGTCCACACATTGACAACATCAAGACGTCGGATGTCTGGGCCTCCCCCAGGGGCCGGCTTTTCGCCTCCAGTCGTTTTTTGACCGTCCCAGGGCCCAGCGAGGGCCACCCGAGGCCGAAAACAGCAAAACATTCCGCGTTGACTTGTTCAACACGTTGGAGGTCTGGGGTGCGGCGGCGTCGCTGCGGCGTCGACGACGCCCAGCGGCGGCGTCGTGCGGCGGCGGCCACGGCGTCGGGTGGCGGCAACGACGCTGGCGGCGTCGACCTTGACGACGTCGGAGGCAGCGGCGGCGGCGAAGGCGCCGTGCGGCGGCCACGACGTCGTGCGTCGACGTTGCCCGGCGGCGGCGGCGCCGTGCGGCGGCGTTGTGCGGCGGCGGCGGCGGCGTTGCGGCGCCATGCGAGGCCGCCCCGGGCGCCGCCGCCGACCTCCGCGGCGCCTTTCACGCCCTGGATCTCGCGGGCGAGGGTGCGCTGTGCCCCCGGCAGCTGCGGCGCGCCCTGCTCGGCGAGGAGGCGTCTCGGCTCGAGGAGCAAAAGACTGCATGGACGACGACGGCGACGACGACGACGACGGCGACGGCGACGGCGACGGCGACGGCGACGGCGACGACGACGACGACGACGACAATGGTGACGACGACGACGACGACGACGACGACGACGACGACGGCGACGAAAACGGAACAGCGTGGCGGTGCAGCAGGAGGGGGCAGGGCTGGACCTAAACGCTGTCTCGCTGGACTTCGGCTGTGCTTTGTTTTCCGTTTTGGCATGGAGGTGAATGAAACCAGGTAGAGCAAAACGACAAACAAAGCGAAACCAAAACGAAAAACAACGTTTAGGTGCAGCCCTGGGAGGGGGTACTACCAGCTGCCGTTCCTCTCCTCCGTTCGCCCAGGCCTCGCCTGCTCGGCGTTGGCTCCCGGTGGTGGTTCGTGCCCCGCCCCGCCCGGCGATGCGGCGCCTCGGCCCGCGCCGATCCACCTCCTCCTCCTCCTCCTCCTCCTCCTCCTCCTCCTCCTCCTCCGCCTCCTCCTCCGCCTCCTCCTCCTCCTCCTCCTCTCCTCCTGCCTCATCCTGCGATGCTCCCTGGGTCGCTGCGAACTGCGCAGGTGTCGCCACTTTCGCGGGCTCCTGCGAGGCACGGCAGAGTGAGGGGGGCGCGGTTCTGCCCAGCTGTCGCCACTTTCGTGGGCTCCCGGGAGGCACGGCGGAGTCGCGGAGTAGCGGAGTACGCGAACCCAGAAGGGACTTGGCAGCTCTTTGGAGAGGTGCGAATGGTGCAATTGTCGCCATGTTCGTGGGCTCTCGAAAGGCACGACGGAGTAGCGGAGTACGTGGGCCCAGACGGGACCTCGCAGCTCCTTGGGTGGCAGCGAACTGCTCATTTGTCGCCACTTTCTGTGGCTCCTGGGAGGCACGGCGGAGCAGCGGAGTACGCGGAACCGGACGGGACCTTTCAGTTTCTTGAATGGTTCTGGTTTGCGCAATTGTCGCCACTTTCGTGAGCTCGTGGGAGGCACGGCGGAGAAGCGGAGTACTGTACGCTGACCCGGCCGGGACTTCGCAGTTCTGCGGGTGGCTGCGAACTCCGCAATTGCCGCCACTCCTCTTGGGAGGGACGGCGGAGAAGCGGAGTACTGTACGCTGACCCAGCCGGGACTTCGCAGCTCTCCGGGTGGCTGCGAACTCCGCAATTGCCGCCACTTTCGCGGCTCTTGGGAGGCACGGCGGAAAAGCGGAATGCGCGGACCCAGACGAGATTTCCCAGCTCTTTGGGTGTTTGCGAGACCCCGCCAGGACTTCGCAGCTCCCTGGGTGGCGAACTGCGCAACGGTCGCCACTTTCGTGGGCTTTTGGGAGGCACGGCGGAGTAGCGGAGTAGCGGAGTACACGGACACAGGCGGGACCTCGCAGGTTCTTGGGGAGATGCGAATTGCGCAATTGTCGCCAATTTCGTGGGCTCTCGGAAGGCACAGCGGAGCAGCGGAGTACGCGGACCCAGACGGGACCTCGGAGCTCCTTGGGCGGCAGCGAACTGCGCAAATGTCGCCATTTTCGTTGGCTCCTGGGCGGCACGGCGGAGCAGCGGAGTACGCGGACCCGGACGGGACCTCTCGGTTGCTTGTGTGATTTTGGGCTGCGCATTTGCCGCCATTTTCGTTGGTTGTTGGGAGGCACGGCGGCGAAGCGGAGTACGCGGACACCAACGAGATTTTGACTCTTTGGGTGTCTGCGAACTGCGCAGTGGTTGTCATGTTCGCGGGCTCTTGGGAGGCACGGCGGAGTAGCGGAGTACGCGGGCCCAGACGGGACCTCGCAGCTACTTGGGTGGCAGCGAACTGCTCATGCTTCTCGACGCCCACTTCAAGTCCATCGTTCCTGGCCGCATTGCCGAGCGCCGTGTTCAAGACCCACACCGCGAGCGCACCCACGCAAATTTCAACGTCCATAACCACGACCTGACAGATAATGACAGAGGGAAGGTCAAGGCGGCGTGGCAGGCCGCGCAGGTGGAGGTACGGAAGGGCCCAGGTCTCTGCGAGATCTTCATGTTCGGCGACGTCAATACATCAGAGCATCCAGCACGCAGCCTGACCAGACCGATCGGCGTTCACTCCGCCGGGCGCCACCAGAACGAGCTTTCAGCCTGGAAGCAGATTTCCAACACGGGGGTAGTGATTTGCATTGCCTCCACGACGCACCGTTGTACGGCTACGAATTCTGGGGACATGTACCGGTCGCTTCTTCACCTCCTGCCAGGCTCACAACGTGCCGCGCGTGGATACCATCATACCATGGTGGTCAACGGCTCTCCAGTGGAGCGTCGCAGCGAGGCTGCGAGCGACCGCGAGGTTCTTCAGGTTTGGCTTTGCCCCCGTACACAGCCCCCGCCGCGTGGGCGCGGCATCCCCCCTGGCATCTTCAAGTCTATCTTCTTGAATGTGATCAAGGAGCTTTCTGACAATGCCAGATCTGACGACCCCGCTGCCATCGGCAAATGGAGAGCTTTCGGAGACAATGTGGCAGACGCGGCCGACCAAGCTCGAGATGCACTTGCCCACTTCTCCCCCGACGCCCCGAAGCGCGATCGCGCCGAGATCGCCAAGGAAGTAAACTAAACGACCATGAGTGGCATTGCTCGGACAGTCTGGTACTAGGACAGCTGCTCATCATCGCACCTCGGGGCGTCGTGCCTGCAGGTTGAGCGCGCCGGCCGCCGCGACGCGCAGGCGGCCGGCGCGGCCCGCGTTGGCTCCAACAACTTCGCTATTGCTGCCGCTGAAGCCCATGCTGCGGTCGCTGACGATGGTCGCGCCCAGGCGCCAGCGCGCCCCCGCCAGGCCCGCCGGGGTCACCGGCGCCAGCGCGGGGGCACGCGGAGAAAGAGAGCCGGCAACGAGCGTCGACGCGGTGAGTTGTGGAAGCCCTTCGCCGAGCGCGCGGTGCTGACTGGGGCGCGGGCTGCGCGAGGTAGCCGAGCGCGCGTCGCATCGTCCGCGACGGGCGTTCGCAGCGCGATGCAGGCGCGTTGGGCCGGCGTTGGGCTCCAACATCCGCCGGCTGGGCAATCGACATCGCAGCCGCGGCCAGCTACCTCGACGCCGTCTTCCAGAGCGCGCCATCATCGACCTTGGCGCGCCCGACGCCGACGACCTGATGGCTGCAGCCAAACGCGCGTCGGACGCGGAAACTGGCCCCGACGGGCTGACCTACATGGCGCGGCTGCGCGCACCAGAAGGCTTCGACTGTGTTGCCGAGCCAACCGAGCACATTGCAAGCGGGCGTCGGATCCCACGCGACCTCAACTTCCCCGCGATGGCCACGTCCCCGAATGGCGACGAACCTGCTGGACAAGCGGAGTGCACGCGAGCCCTCGACCAGCTTCTCCTATTTTCCGCGAAGAATACGGACGTGAAAATCATTGCGACGACGACGGATCGCAAGCATCACCCCGTCGCCTAGAGGGCCTCGGCCATCCGGCGCGGCCGCGTGTCAGGGCGGCAGCTCATCTGCGGCGCAGTCGAGGCGGGCGCGCGCGGCCGCCTCCGCAGCGTCGGCCCCGAGGCCATCTCCAGCCAGCGCTGCTTCTTGAGCGCGGGCATTCTGGCCGCGCCCCCGAGTCTTCTTTGCGCCCAGCTTCGGGGGGTCATGCGTCGACGGGGCATTTCAGGTAAATTTGCCGCGCTCCTGCAGTCATTCTACAAGTTGCCGATCGCCTTCTTGGAAATCCGCCGACCCTGTCGGCGCGTGGAAGAGGCTTCTCCGTCTGTTCCTTCTTCGTCGTCGTCGTCGTCGCTCCTCCCCCTTTCCCCGCAGCGTCGTTGCTTCTACCCCTCTCCCAGGGCCTCCTCCTGAAGCGCGTCAGTCCAAAGCGAAATTGAGCAACGTCGTAATTGAGTCGAAGGGAAGCCCCTTCCCTTTGATCCCTTCCCCGCCCGGGGGGGGGGGGGCGGCCCCGGCGCGGGCCCAGGGGGGGGGCCGGGTTTTTACGCCGCCCCCCCGGGGAACCCGGGGCCCAAAATAGCCCCAACACGGGCCAAGAGTGCCCCAAGGGGCCCCCAAGACGATCTAAGAGGGCCCCAAATCGCGGACGCCCCAAGAGGCCTCCAGGACCGTTCCCACGAGAGCCCCAAGAGGCAACAATCATGGATCCCCATATGTTTTTTGTCAAGAATTTTGGCGTTCTCGCTTCTTCCGCCCCCCCACGCGCCAAGACGGCCCAAGAGGCCCCCAAGGTCGCCCCGAGACGGCCCAAGAGGCCTCCAAGAGAGTCCCCAGACGGCCCAAGAGCGCCCCAAGACGGCCCAAGACGCCTCCAAGACGGCACAAGAGGCCCCCAAGACGGTTCCAAGAGAGCGCCCAGACGGGGGACCCGAACGGACATTTCGAGCTCTCAGCCCCGAGAAGCCCCCAAGAGGCCCCAGGAAGCCCAAAGAGGCCCCAAGAGGCTCCCAAGAGGCCCCCAAACATCCCCCCAGAGGCCCCTGAGAGCGCTCGGGAGAAACCCCAAGAGGCCCCAAGAGGCCCCCAAGAGCGCTCGGGAGGGACCCGAGTCAGCATCGTCGTCGTCGCTACCGCCGCCGCCGCCGTCGTCGTTCCCCCTCAGGGTCGGCGGCGCCGGCCGCGAGGCCTTCGCAGTAAGTCGGACTCGCCGCCCGCCGTTCGCAGCAGCCAGCGGAGTCGCACGAGGACATTCATTAAGCGGCCCCATGCGGGCCCTGACGCTCGACCCAGGACTGCGAGGGGTCCGCGACTTCTTTCTTCAAGCTGGCTGCGGCATGGCCAGTGCTTGGTCTGACGGCGTCGGTTGCGTCTTTGCCCGCGCCGCCGGCATCGGCGGTCTGCCCCCGCGCGCCCCGGCTGCTGATCGGCGCGCTAGGCTTCGCCTCCAGTCGGGGGTGCGCACACGTGCCAGTCTGGACAACGCCCACCACTAAGCTGACCAACTGGCTCCACGATATGCTGATCTACATTTTCAGCGACTGGGCGACCCCCAAGATCGACGGCAAGGCCACATGCCTGGGCGCCTACGCCGGACCTGGTGCTGATGATCGCGCTCAGTGGGCTGCCCCTGCTGCCCAACTTCACCGTCGCGGCCAGATTCTTGGCGAGGCCCATGTACCTGCCCAGCAGATCGTGGCCACCCACAACTCGGCTGCCATCGCATGTTCGGCATGCGTTTGACAACTTTTTCCAGCGCCCCAGATGGCCCCCTGCAAGGATATCTACGCTCCAAAAGATCACTCGTTCGGCACCGTCGGCATTCTCGAAGCGCGCCATCCTGGGGGTGCAGATTTGGCGCGGGGCAGAGATTCTAATCGGTGTCGAAGCGCTTCTGCGCGCCGCTCTCTGGCGAGCTGATATAGCCAACGTCGATATATGGGCAAACATGCACGACTGGCTTGCTTGATGCTGCTGCCGAGCTGCTCTTCACGTGGCCAATATTAAGGGGCAAGCCCATGTCGATCGCCCAACGCCTTCATTGCGCGACGAATGGGCGGCCTTCCCCGCGGTGAAAGGATCTATGTTCGTGCGCTTGAAACGGGAACTTCGCGACCCAGCACGCGCGACATCATTTTCTCCTCGCGCGTCGCCGCGCCCAGCGCGCGGGAGCAGGCGCGCGCGCCAATGAGGCGACGAGGCGGTGAACCACCTCGTCGGGCGCCGCAGTCAGCAGATGCACCTGGAGCTCTAGCGCCAACTCTACGACGACTTCGACAGCACGATTGGGGGGGGATTTCGCTCGCGGGTTCCATCGCTTCCGCGGCCGCGCGTTTCGAGGGGCCCTTATCAGCTGAACTCCAGCCACTTCGCCGTTCTCAATCTCTCGCGCCACAAACTCCACCGTCAACGCCCGGTGAAACTGATGGTGGCCTTGGCGTCGCTGCACATGAATTCAACACTGATTCCGAGGTGCTGGGACATTGGGCATCGGATTGGTTGCCCTGCCTATATCCCGACCCTGGGATCGACGATACCAGCGACGGTCGCAACTGGATTGCATGGCGTGAAAGGCATTTTCTGCGCGTGCCTTGCAGGCAAGTGTTTCAAGTTGATGTGATGATGGGCTCCGGCTTCGAGGCCGTGCCCGACGCGTCTGCGAGGAGTCGCGGCGCTGCTCTACCTCTAACCGACATCCGCTTGCAATGGTGATGCGGCGGATGTCCCGTCCTGCGGAAATTCAGCATCAGCACGACCGCGTGCGTGCATGAGGAGAGACGACTGTTCACCAGAGAACGATCCCACGATCACGACGAATGAGATCATCTATGCAGACGCGACTCAAGGAGCAGCGTCTTTCAATGACATGACGTCGCTTATCCAGCATATGACTTCAATTGATAGGCACCCCCCCCGACCACCACAACTGGTTTTCGCGAAACACGAAACACAGGTCGCCCCGAAGCATTGAAATCAAGTTAAATTCTGTTTTCCACAAAACAAACTACGAACTTGCCTTTTAGCGCATCGCCAAATGAGCTTGTATCGCGATTCACTTTTTTTTATTGAGAAAGGCCTGCTTTTGCTAGAGCCACGTATGCACCCACCAGCCCACCAAGAAAAATCACACCCAAAGGCGTTGTTTTGTTGCGTTCGTTCTTGCGCCGCCTAAACCATGATATACGCTGTGCATCATTCGAAGGCTTTTGCTGGAGTGTATGCTGTGCTGTGCTTCATAGGCTTCCAATTTACACATTTCACTAATGTGATGGATGCCAACCGAAACTTAGATAATTTAGCTGTTCGACCCCCCCCCAAGGCTTTGCAACCGCCACATGTTGTCAAGTTCGGTGATTTCGGCCACCCCTGGATGAACGTGGTTTTGCGTGGTGATGTGTGTATCGATTCCCGCAGAAACTCTGAAACTCGCATCGGTCTCTGGAGCTCCAGGAATCGGTGGCTCGGGGGGAATGGAAATTTGGTGGAGTTAGAAGAGGGTGAAACTTTAAAGGGGTCGCGGGGTCTGTAGACATATTTTGTCGAACGCCTTGTGGCCACGTGATATGTCATGCGTGGTGCGCCCAGTGGCCCGCGTGCTCGGGTCGGCGGATCATCATCAGTGCGTGTCCTCCTGTAGGGAACTGCACAAACATCCAAAACAACTCTCTGTAGGCTGATGGTTTTCGGGTCGCTCTGGGCCCTCGTCAGCCGACCGTGCCGTCATGCTCTTTGGGGTCTTCTGTGCTTGACAGCGACCTTAAAGGTCTTGGTGATTTTTTTCTGTGATGTTTCTGGTTTTGCGCTGGTCGCACCACTGTTCGCAATGACGGCGCGGAGCCCGCCCCATCGGTTGATGTCGTTTGTCGTCGCCCCGTGCCATCGCCATTTGAGCTTCGTGTTCCATAAGTTCCATATATTAGTACACGCCTACATGCATAACGTACTTCGCCCACCGGCCCCCAGAGTTAGAAAACGCAAGCGGTGTGAACTGGAGTTGCCGCGTGCTTTCGTTGCCTGGGCTTACGATATGAAAGGAGTTTCGTATTTTCTTGCGATTCTTCAGTTCGGTGGCAGATTCCTGAGTTTAGTTTCGGACGCAGTCGGAGCTCATCTGTCTCAAGTGACTGCGTGGCAGAATTCAAGGCGATTCAAACATATCTTATCTGGAGATTACAAGTTGATGGACATCGAGACTATTTCTCCCTTGCGTGATCCAGTTGAGATGACAGACTCGCAATGGGTTAAGCATCCAAGATTCGGCTTGTCGGTTTTGACAGATTCAGGGCGTAATCACTTCTCAGGTTTGGGATCTTCTGTTATGGATGAGTTTCTGCAATCCCGCCCTGATCGCCAACCGATCTACACTATGGAGCTGCCGTGGGCGATTTTGAATCCAGCGGCGAAGGGCGAAACTGGATGCCGAACACTTGTCGTCCCAGCAGGTTTCACGTCATCGGTCCACTGCGAACTGGTATGTTCGAGCGACGTCGTCGGGGGCTTCGTCACCCCGGTCGCCCCTGCCGCGATCGACGAGGACCATGATCGCAAGAAGATGTGGTATGAACGTGGCAGAGATTGGAAATTAGATGGCAAGCATGATCAGTGGGGGCCCTTGTTCCACATACAGGCGGTGAAATTGGCGTACATGTTATCAGCGATGAATGATATCCAGCAGTGCGTCGAGACTGTGGCTGATATGATCTGCCCCGAGAAAGACGTCCGAAATTCAATGAAGATTCCACTTGGGGAGACTGTCAGGTTGAACATGGTGAAGCTGGACACGCTCACGATGCTGCACCAACGAATGTGGTACGATGACATGAAAGAGAAGACATCCATGAGCATCCTCATCGATTCAAGCCCTCAGGGTGGTTACGATTTCTTCAACGCCATTGTAGATTTTTGCGTGCAGACCGCGCCCACATCCGAGCTGCATCTTGATCCACTCGGTGGTTTTACTTTCATTCGTCGTCGCCTGCCTGTTTCGACGCTGGGCTACACCGATACGGCATCGAAGCTCACGAAGCTCGCGAACATGATCCTCTTGGAGATCGGGGAAGAAAACTTCATGCGATTCAGGGAGGGCGTGAAGCACCTGACATCAGATCAGGGCGTAGAGAAGCACGTGGCGAGCGCACCTTTCGGGGAACCCGATGAGTTGCGACAAGTTCTTGCAGATCTGAAGGGTAAGAGGTTGTCGTTTGCAGGTCCTGGTTGCCAAAGGCTGTATTTCCTTATGAATGCGATGGAAGTCCCTGATCATTTACATAGTTGCTTCAATGCGGTTGAAGAGGCGATCGCAGCTATTCCAGAGTGGGCACAATTCGAACCTTTACTTAAGGCCGTCACGGCCGTATTCAGGCACGAGAAGGACAGACTCTTGGCAACGACTTTCAAGCACGCGCCTTCGCATGTCAGGAAGGTCGTGCACGAGTTTAGTGGGCAGCACGTCGATTGGAGATGGGGGCATTTGGAAGAGACTTTACACAGCATCAACATGGTTTGGAAATATCTTTGCGAGTATTTCGACCCATCAGATATGAACATATCGACAGAGAGGATTGCCCGCTGCCGCAAGGCCATCGCGCAGAAGGAATGGTTCAACGCCATGTCTTTCACCATTCATGTCTTCCTGATGGCGGCGGGCAAGGAAATTTCGTGGATGGAGGGTTGCACCTGCCATGAGCATTTGATTGTCGACGCCAGCAGCTACAAGGCTCGCCGCAAGTTGTTGAGGAAAGCTCTTGACGACAAGACTTTATGCTGCCCCTGGATGGGCAGGCGAGGTGTGCATTTTGCCTTGGGTCATTGCGCTGGTATGTTCGAGAGGGTTCGCGCAGCCACCTCGCAGTCATTCCAGGAGATGCTTCTTGAAGTCGACTCCACCACAGCGGGCAGGATGATGCAGATCAAGACTAGCATTACTGAGCGGTGGTGCAGCGTGGTCGGGGACAAGCTGAGCTTCTGGAACCACGTGCCGCACAAGATAGTCGGCGCGTTCGCTGAGCACTTCGGCTTCGACGCGGACATGGGGGGACGGCACTGCGGGGGGCCACCTACTTCCCTTCACCTACCCCGTTCGGTTTTTGGAATGCGTTTAAATGGAGTTTGTGCGTTTTGGCCTCAAGTGGTCGTCCCGGGGAGCCGTTTGTTACGTTGTTCTGTTTCTGCGGTGGGGCGCCGTGGGGGCATCGCCTTCAGCTAAACGGCTTTGTTTTCAACGATGGGGGTTGACGAGAGTTCGGGGGAAGTTGATGGCCGTTAAGGTGCGTGAGCGAATGCTTCCAGGAGTGGGATAATATCGAGAACAGGTCTTCCGCAAACCGCGTGTGCTTCTTGCTCTTCGATCGTTCGTCGACGGTGTCTTTGCAATTGGAATCGTTTGGGGCTTCTCGTGCAGAGGATCGACGCAAACTGCATGACTACCCTGAGGCATTCCGTGAAGTTCGAGACCGGGCACTTGCGAATTGCGTCGGTCGGGTCATAGAGGCTGAGCACAAGCAGACGAAGGGCGCAGTTACTCGAAACTTCACCTACGCGAAGCCAGCTGTGGCGTGCGCGAGGCAGCGCAAGTTGCAGACCCTGTCGACCCTGGATGACCCCAAAGCGATGCACTGGCTCGTGCAGCAATGGTCCGACAAAGATCATTGGAAGAGAGTTCTGGCTCACGTATCACAGGGGGACGAGGTCTCCCGTCTCACTCTGGCGCAGAGGCACGAGAAGGTCGGTTGAGTGGTAAATCGGGGGTGTCTTGGATGTTAGGGGGTGCCGTGTCCTTCTTCTGCATGCCCTCCTCCCCCCAAAGCCCATGCTACGCTAGTCCACGGCGCTCTCAATTTCTCAACCAGCTTGCCTTCTCGTGCTTCCTTACTAGGTCTACCAGTGCAGTGCCGATGATCAGTATGAGGACGTCTCTGTTTTGCAGTCTGCGGTCTCGGCTTGGGGCGCTCATGAGAGGGCTGCTGATAATGCTGGCGGTGTTCACTTGTCCGCTGAGTCTCGCCTGATGATCACATTCTTCAAGAATACTTTTGATAGAGGATCGATCCTGAGTATGCCGCAGGCCGCCTGGGACGCAGGATCGAATTTCGATGGCGTGCCGCATGATGGACTTACTTCTTCTGACCTTGTTGAGGTTCTGCTTGACCCAGACACGGAACCAGACTATTTGTGGCAGCAGGTGTTTTTCGAAGTTGTCGACGCGAAGCCAGAGTCCAAGCAACAGTTGAGAATTAGGCACGTTGCGAAGAACTCGACATCTATCAACGTTCAGGTTTTCAAGGTTATTGAATGGTCCGATGGTCCTACAGTGACGCTGCGCGCGGTGCCTGGCATCGTGCGCTTTGATCTCCTGTGTTTGAACAGCGCAGGCCGCCTGAGGGATTTCACGGAGCACTTCGTCAAGTGGAACATCGGAGAGTCCACTCGCAAGGTCGATCTCATTCCTTTGCCAGCGCCCGGAGCTCCAGGGATGCTGCCTATTCTTCACCCTGAAGTCCCCGACGAAGAGATCGCGATCGTGCCTGTCGGTGACGATGCGCGCGAGCCGAATGTCCTGACCCATGGGGCTCGCCTTGTTGCACAGCACCTGGTTGACATGAAGGCCTTCTCTGTGTGCGACGCTCGTGTACCACTTCTTGCACTACCAGACGCCAGTGGCAGATCTATTTCCGAGCTGGTCGAGACAGGCATTGTGATTGAGAGTGAGAATGCAGATTTTGGTGATATTGAATATTCAATCGATCTTAAACGCATCAAGGTATCGATAGATGCTCGTTGCAATAGGCCCCTGCTTGATATAAGATCGGATGACCGCACGCCTCCGAGTCGCATGGATAAGCTTCAATTGGTGAAGGTCCTTCTGCGCAAAGGCTGGACGCCACAGGCAGACGTGCCCCGGCAGCTTGTGCGAGGTGCTCACGTGTTCTTGACAGACGTCGCGAGGCGGCCCAAGATGTACTATCTGTGCCTAGCCAGGTCGGATGCCATCTTTGAGCGGCAAGCTGATCTCGAACACATCGACCAGTATGCGACGGAGTCGTACTACAAGTGCATCATGTACATGAAGAATTTGAGCAGCATCATCGCCATGGACGTGCCGAATACTTCGGACAACACCTTCAAGGACACGTTCAAGGGTATGCAGCCTTACGAGCTTGTGGATGACATGGGCGATGACGGCGAGCCAGAGCTCGAATTGGAGGAGCCTGCGCCCCCAGCCGCACTTCCTGCGGTTGCGCCACTACCAGCCTTGATGCCAGACTTACACTTGCCCCCTGTGGTCTACGTGGAGGATGGGGTTGAGTACAAGGCCGTCTTCGACAATTTTACCCATCCTAGTGGGCACAGGCGAGCATACATCTATTGCCATTATCATGATGGGCGGTGCCGTCGATATCGTTTCCTTCGGAACTTCGATAACGAGAACCACATTTGTGCCTACTTGATCGCCTGGGCGAGGCTGGGCCCCATCGCGATTCCAGACAAATCTCAGAGGACGACACACGCCCTCACCTTCGAGCCCCCCGAGGAGGAGGTGGCTCGCATGCGTGCCATCTTGGATGGCTAAGGTACTCTTGACATACAATTGAACTGAGCCTCAAGGCGTGAGCATGCTGGAAAGCATCAATATCAATTCGCATAAATCACGTAGGCACCATCCTGCCCGCAATGCCTCCATCCTCCCCCACCTTTGATAGTTCACTAGCCTGTTCCCGGCCTCCGACACTTCCCACTAGTCATAATCATGATCACCACCTCCGTCACCGTACTCACCACAATCAGCTTCATCACCATCGTTAGCGTCACCATCCTCAGGATCGGCACCCCAGACATCGTAGTCACCATCAGCACCACCACCAGCATCAAGCGCACGGATGCAGATATGCGCGTCATCACCTACATCGCCGTTCCCACCGCCAGAGCTTAGCATCGCTCAGCATAGGCTAGCACAGCTTAGCATCAGCGCCGCAGACGAAGTCACTGCAAGCACCATCATGCTATCAGTCGTAACCACCAGCGTCGTCACGGTCAGTCACCATGGGCAGCTATATGGATATGCATTGAGGGCGTTTCGCGCAGGGGGTGTGTCCACTGGCACTGTCGGACCCCAAAAAGGTTTCAGCATGCCCCCCAGAGGCCACAAGGATAGCAATTCAGCGAATCTATATGCGCACAGTACCGCGCCACACAGCTGGGCACTCTTGACGCCGTCTTGCCCCTCCCCGGGTGACCACTAGAGCGCGCAGGATCCCAGCTCCCCCTAAGATGATGACGACGACGACGCTCAAACGCCGCCCAGTACCGATGTCCCGCCGATGTCCCGCCGCTGTCCCGCCGCTGTCCCGCCGCTGCCCCGCCACTGTCCCGCCGCTGTCCCGCCGCTGTCCCGCCACTGTCCCGCCACTGTCCCGCCGCTGTCCCGCCACTGTCCCGCCGCTGTCCCGCCGCTGTCCCGCCGTTGTCCCGCCGCTGTCCCGCCGCTGTCCCGCCGCTCTCCCGCCGTTGTCCCGCCGTCGTCCGCCGTGGCGTCGATGGGCGACGTCGAGGCGCAAGGTCCGAAGCCTCCCGAAGCGGCCCCGGGGCCCAAATCCTCGTGACACGATGCCTCCCAGAGCAGAGAGCCATGAATTGCAAGGGGGCTGCGCTGAAATACATCCGTGAGTCCACATCTTCACAGTAGGTAGCCATTCGACGTCAAGTTTCAGTTTTGGCTTGGGGAGTGAGCCTTACTTCAGACGTCTTCAATGCCAGCGCATGATTCGGACGTGCTCAGCATATCTAGCGACGATCCTCCTGATATCTTCACTCACACCACTCTTGAAGAGATGACTTCGGGCATGGAGAGCGAGGGGGCAGTCGCTGCAGCCCGGCGGGACTTGCCGAAGAGCGAGTTCGAGAACGGCCAGGATTGCCCGCATGTTTGTGATCGTTTCGATTTGTTTGATGTTCCCGATCCCGAGCCACAGAGAAAGACAAGAACCCCCAGGACCAAAGTCAAAACAGCTCGCCTCGGAGAATGGACACCAAAGATTTCCAAGGTCCTGACAGTAGAGAGCTTCCGAGTGAGACCCTTCCCCTGTGTCGAGCGCTGCAAGCCTTGCAAGCGCCCGGCTGACGAGGCCACTCCTCAGCTTAAGGTGTTAGGGATCGTGCGTTCGCCAGCCAGTTTAGCACCTGTCTCCCGCAAAGGTTAGGGCCAGGGATTGCTGCTACTCGTGTTCATGAGTGTAGCTCGTGGGAAGAGGTGGGTGCCGAATATCACAGATCCTCGTCTGTTTCGCATTCTGCCCTCTGTCCTCCTCATCCTGGCTACGTAGCTTGACATTCCCCTTCTCAGCCCTCGCACTTCCCCCATTCTGCCGACCCTCGATTCCTCCTCCTCCTCCGAAGGAGGAGGAGGAAGGGGGGGGAGGGAGGAGGGGGAGGAGGAGGAGGAGGAGGAGAAGCCCATCCTCACTTCGCTATGGATCCAAATGAAAATGAGAGACGGGGGGATACGATATACAAGCGATCGCACTAAACAAGATCAGGTCGACAAGAGAGAAGCGACACTAAAACGAACAAGCGAGTCGGCACGCTCTTCCGTAGCCATTTGGGCTCAAATGTTTGAGGCACTGCGCTCAGCTCCAGGCTGCCACGCCCATCGATGGAGTTCCCTGTCTTGGAGCCTCTCCCACTTCGCTTCGACAGAGCTGGAGAGCCCAGGCCGACGTTGCGGTTTGCACGAGAGCTTTCGATCTCAGAGCCGTGCGCAGGCATGTTTAGTACTCACGTTTGTCTTAGAGAGTGGGGCATCAACTACAGACCAGTGAACGTCTTCGATAAGATCGAGTGCTACAGAGGTCTGTGGAATCATTTTTTTGGCGAGAACCTCGCGAGATACTTCCGATGCGGGCGAGAAGGCGACTTGCTGCAGTTCCCTCTTGCTGGGCTTAAGGATTGCGACGGGCTTATCGGGGGGCCGCCTTGCCCTCCATGGGCTGCGAACGGGAAGCGCAAGGGCTGCCGAGATGTTCGCAGCCTCGTGTATGATAGGCTCATTGAGTGGATCGTGCATCTTGCATCGCGCGGTCAGTTGCTCTTCTGCGCCCTGGAGAATGCTACAGGTATCTTGTCAGAGTCCTCAGCTGGTCATGGTTCTCAGCGTTGCGTCGACTACGTGATCGACTCCTTCAGGAAGCACATCCCTTTCTTCTCCGTGACTTATCACGTGGTGGATACTGCGACGCTGACGCCTCAGAGGCGCAAGCGATGCTGGGTCGTCGGCGTCAGGAAGGATGTTCTTAGAGGGCAGCCACTTCCATCTCCGCTACCCATTGAGCGGCTTCCCAAGGTCGACCTCGCGGATCTGCTCAACCCCAGCCTCGCGAACTTGGGGCCAGACGACTTGGACGATCGGCTCCGCCGCAACCTGGCAGACTACATGAGGGCTCTCTTAGAGCAGGTGCAAAACGGGAGGCGGAGCGGAGCCAGGGTCGTCATCTTCGATTTGGAAAGAGGTTTCGGCAAAGGGTGGAAGCCAAACATCGCCTGCGACGAAGCGCCCACCTTCACCACCAAGACTACCAAACTGTTCGTGGCGAGCATCACCGACCTGGACCTTGACCCTTTCGATCGGATGTACCACCGTTTTCTGGCACCGGAGGAGAGGCTCGCGACGCAGGGCCATGGGCCTGACGTGGCGCGTTTCTTGGGCGAGGCGGCGCTGGTTAAGGCGTGCGGGAATGCCTTCCCTGTGCCGATGGTAGGCGCCGTGATCATTCCTGTATTGCAGGCCGTCTGGGACAGCGGGATAGTGACGGAGGGCCATGCCTCGCGCTTGAGCCTGGAGGAGCTGCGAGCTCTTTCGTAACTGCTGATGGCCCGAGCTTCTGATATTATTCGTTAGTGTAGTTGAGGCGGCGCGATTGCGCCAGAGACTCCCGGGGCGCCCCGATCGACTCAGTTTGCCGATTTCGCCTCGTTCTGTTTGGCGGCCGTTCGTTGCGAAACCTTCGTTGTGTGATTCTAGCCTTGGATCGCAGAGACCTCTGTGCCGCCAGTAGGAAATAGTAATGGTGCCAAAACACCTTGAGCAACACTTTGAGCAAGCAAGCGAGCTAGATAGATGACTACGGACGAGACGTGAGCGTTGAATGAAAGCGAGAAGCGATACGCGACAGGGTTGAAAACGATTGACAGCAAACGGCGAAGAGAAGGAGGAGGAGAAGGCTGAGGAGGAGGAGGAGGAGGAGCAGGATGAGGAGCAGGAGGAGCAGGAGGAGGAGGAGGAGGAGGGTGGAGGAGGAGGAGGAGGACACGTCTGGCATGACCACACAGGAACACTAAACCGAAAGACCCTGGCTATCCGTAGACCATTCTGGCTCAAGCCCCGAGTCAGGCGAGTCGGCATCGGACTCGCAATGTACGACCGATGGCCACAGCATCCTCGACCGATGCCCCAGCCGCCGCCGCCGCCAGCGCGCATGAGCAGCTTCTCGCGCTGACGTGTATGAAGTGCCAGGAAGCGACTACCATGTCGACGTCTTACCCCTCTGGCGCGCGCAATCCTTTGCGCAGGGTGTGCAATATTTGCAGCTCGACTGACCGGACGGCAGCCAGGCGCACTGCTGAGTACAAAAAGAAGAAGGATGCGAAGAAGCCACTGACTGATGAGGACGTGGACGTGAAGGCGAACATCAACAAAATGACCCCAGACGAGAAGGTGGCCTTCTACCGTGCCGAGAAGGTGGGTGGGTGGCCATGGGCACGAACGCATGCGACAAATAACATTGATCTCTGAAATCCCTGGGCTGTTTTTTGGGGTCCGATGCCAGTGTTTGAACCAGGAGCGGAAGTTGTCGCTGCATTCGCGCCTTCGAATCAGCCATCGCACCCAAAAGGCGAAGCAGGTGGCCAAGGACGGCTCGAGCAATGGGAAGCGCAGCTTCGCAGGCGTCAAGGGCTCCGTCGAGCACAGCAAGGTTCAGAGTTTGACGCGAGATGAGCTGGACCTCTTCGAAACGTTCGAAGACTTCGCCCTCGGGCAGATCGGCTTGAAGCGCTGTGAGGATGAGGCAGGTGCGAAACCATTGTGGCTCGAGGCTCTGGCGGACCCTCAGAAACAGAAGATCAAGTTTCGTGGCCAGTGGTTGCTCGGTAAGTTCGGCGGCGTCGCCATGCACAACACGGTATCTGACGAGTTGAGGAACGCCTTGAAGCAGGCTCAGATGATTGACAGCAAGGAGGGCCTCGACGAGTTCCTGACAGAGAGCACGGATCTTCAGGCACGCCGCGAGAAGGGGATCAAGAAGGACTACATGGTGCAGCCCGACAAGGACCAGCCAGAGGTGAACGACTACGACGTCGAGGGCAGCGTGAAGGTCGACGAGGGGATGATCAGCGACAAGGCTGTCATGAAGACGATCACCGCGCAGATCGCCAAGAAGGCCGAGGACCTAGCCGAGCAGGAGAAGAGCATCATCGAAGCAGCCGCGGCGAAATCAAGGCCATCTGAGCAACCCACGCCTGAGCCATCTCCGAACAAGAAGCCGAAGACTTCTGTCGCGGTGGCCAAGATGGGTCTGGAGTCCGCCATCATCAGCCAGTGCGCCACCATCGAAAGCAAGGTCGAGAATCTCAAGGCGAAGTTCTACCAGGAGGCGAGCGAAGAACTTCGAGGCATCCTGGACACGGAGGGGAAGCAGGAGCTGAAGGATATGACAGACGCCTTCGAGGTTAAGTTCGGGTCGTACTCGGCGAAGGCCGAGGACAGGAAGACGGAGATCAGGAACGTGCTTGCGAATCTGGACGTCAGCATCGGCGCGGAGGCCATCATGAGCAAGAAATGTGAGATCATCGCCACCGCCAAAATGTTTTGCAAGTCAGAGGGCGCTGAGATCAAGACCCTGGTGACTGAGCTCACTACCATGATCACAGACATGAAGGCTTACGGCAAGAGTGCCTGGAAGGCGACAGAGAACAGGGACAAGGAGGCGACCAAGCACCTGCACAGCAAGAATGCCTTGGTTGATAGCCCTGGGAAGTTCGCATCGCCCCTCACGTCCGCGTTCTGGGCCCACCACCAGTGCGAAGCGAATCAGGCGGCATCGGGCATCGGCATCCACTGGAACATTGAGCAGGATTTCATGAAGAACGGCAGCGCAGTCTTGATCCCGTCCGAGAGGACGACGGAATGCGTCAAGACGATCGTGGAGCTGGCGTACTACAGGTCTCAGAAGGCTTGGGTCAAGGCGGCGATGGCCAAGACTACTCATCACACGAGCGCCGCGTACATCGTCAAGGATTCCGCCAAGAAGACCGTGGAGTCGAGCATCGCATCCATCGTCGATGCCTCGGTGCGCCCCAGGCAGACGCGTGATGGCTGCCCATGGTTGAACGACCTCACGGCGGTGAGCTTCTGGCAGCACACGAAGGACTTGCACTCGATCTCCAATGCGCCGTATTGCATGCCGCAGGTTCGCTTCGTCTTGGAGGGCGAGGTGGCGCTGGCTGGACTTCCCGTCGACGCCGTGGTTGCAGACACGCTGGTGGCGAAGCGGACCTCCCTGATGAACATGAGCTTGACCGACTTCTTCAACTTGGTCCAGACGAAAGGCGGCATCGCGGTGAAGCTCAAGCCCGGGTCGATCGTCCTGCCCCCAGGGAATTTCATGATCGTGGAGGTCGCTCTTGGCGGTGCCGAGGTGCACGGCCTGTGCTGGTCGCTGCTCGGCTCAAAGAGCCTGGCTTCCGTGTGCCTGCCGATCTTGGAGCAGTTTCTGAAGGAGAACGTCAGCATGAAGAAGTCGCCGTACGTGGAGTTGCTGAATCACCTGCAGGAGATCACGGAGGGTGCGCCAGAGGATTGATGAACCGCTGAGCCTCGGTCAGAGTATCTTCGCAGGATTCGTTGA